CTCCTCCCCCAGCGCCTGAGTGTCCAGCAGGCCATCTCCGCAGCCACCCTCGGGGCTCGGGGTCGCCATGGTCTTTGAACTTATTTCACTGGATCCAATGAATGTGAGCATCAAGTTTGCTGACCATTGACTATGTTTATAACAAAATGTAAGTATTTGTTTGACATTTAAAGGAAAGAAAAATCTAGGTGGAAGTGATGAAAGATAAAAGATAAAGGATAGAAGGGAACCAACCAAATCAACTTCCAGAAAAAATAATTTCAAAAAATTTAAGAGGGAAATAAAGTCAAATAAGGTAATAACAATGACAAGCAAGAAAATAGAATTCACTTTCCACAGCTGTGGGCTCTGAACCGGCCATACAGGTGGGCAGGAGGCAGCAACACCTAGGGTGGGATGAAAGTTGTGTGATAAATGGAAGTATGGTAAAAAAAGATCACTGAGGAAAAAGAAAAATTGATTGCATAAACAAACAAGTTTAGGAAAGCTGTAGGAGAAAGAAAAAAACCACACACACACACACACACACACACACACACACAGAAAATAGCTACATTTCCCCCATTCTTTCATTATATAGAACAAGAAGTTGTTGGGAATTGACTGAAAATAGGTCTATTTTAGCTCCCAGTTGGAAAGATTAAATGAAATATGGGTAATAAGCCAGGCACAGCAACTGGGGTGTAGTAGTCAATCCCTTCATTATTTATTCCTCTCACCTTGATTTAAAAATAATACAGAATTTTTTAAGGGAAAAAACATCCTCTTGTCATCCATGCAAGATTTGTACACCAATAAGACCAGATACAAATAGTACCCTAGAAATTAGAGAAAATGAAAATAACATTTTAAATTTGAAAAATAATGCATATTGTCTTATGTAGTTATTTGGAGATGGTTGTCTTTAGTGAAGATTGTTGTCTTTAGTGAAAAACATGAAAAATTCTCAAGTTGGTTTTACATATCAGGTGTCATTTATTCTGAATGATATTAAAAATGAATATCTAGTAAGAGATTATAGGGCATTATTACCTTATACAATATGGTAGAAGCATAAATAAGAATATCTTAAATTTTGCAAAGTTAAGCAGTTTTCATGGATATCTGATTTAAAACTATAGAGTAGCTTAGACATAGGGATGATTTGAGCAGACCACAGTCTACTATACAATGATGATTCATTGGTCAGTTAAATGAATAAGCTTATACTACAAATGAAATAAACTTTTTCTTACTCTATCAACTTATCTCCCTGATAGCTCTCTGATACCATCACCCAACGCAAGTGCAGAGTAAGGAAAAGAGCCCTCTCTTCAAAGAAACATTCTACGGCGAGAGTCCCCATTTAAGCAGCCTCTTCTGTATAATTAATGTATAAAAGATAACCTAGCAAAGAAAATGTTCGGTGTTATTAGCTCTTTATGTTCCCAATCCATCTTCTTAGACAGTGTACTATTAGATGAAATCTGTCTCTTTTATCATGTGCTCTTCCTACCTCTCTTCTATTAGGAATCTCAAAGCCTTTGAGTAGAATTGAAAGCATAAGTTCTTTTGGCCAAGAAAGGATTACACTAAATTTCAAGAGGTTGTTCTTTTACCTATTAGAAAATGAAGTTTCCTGGTGTCACAGTTCTTGTCAATGTAGAATTTCTACATAGTAGGTAACATTAATGGACCATCTGAAAACTAAGGGATGCCTCAGTTTCCTTATCTGTACGATGAGAATAGAATAAGTCAGAGCTGTAGTGAGAATCACATATAAACACAGAGCAGCTCCTGATTTATTTTAATAATAATAATTATCTACATATATAAAAGCCTAAGTGACCGTCTGATCCTTCGACTGGTAGCTATGCCACGCACTGACCACCAGGGGGGAGATGCTCAATGCACAGGCATGGAAACATGGAACAGACTGATGAATCTCAGAGGGAAGGGCGGGAAGAGATTAACCAAAGATCTTATATGCATACTAGAGGCCCAGTGCCTGGATTCATGCACTGGTGGGGTTCCTCGGCCTGGCCTGCGGGGATTGGGCTGAAACTGGCTCTCTGACATCTGCAGAGGGGTTCTGGATTATAAGAGGGCACAGGCCAGGCCAAGGGACCCCACCGGTGCATGAATCTGAGCACCAGGCCTCTAGTTATTTAATGAAACCTCATTGTTTTTATAATTACATGTAGTTTTTGTAATTTTAATGAGCCAGAAAATTCTCTCACTTTCCTGAAAAAATCATAAACCCTTATATCATAAGGAGAAATAATTATTTAACACCAGGTTGAAATTTCATTTCCTATTTATTCTGAATAACGAAGCACAAAGTTATTTCTTTTTTTAAGTACAACTATTTTTAGAGCAATTTTAGACTCACAGCAAAATTAAGAGTAAGAGATTTCTCATATATGTTCTACTCACAGACATGTAAATCCTCCCCCATTATCAACATCTCAAACCAGAATGGTACATTTGTTACAATTGATGCACATATGCTTACACATTATAATCACCCAAAGTTTACATTAGGCTTCATTGTTAGTGTTGAACATTCTATGGGTTTGGACAAATGTGTAATCACCTTTACCCACCATTATAACATCAGAGAATTTTCACTGCCCTAAAAATCTGTTGTGTTCCACCTATTCATCACCCCCACTCCCAACCCTGGCAACCACTGCTGTTTTTACTGTTTCGATGGTTTTGCCTTTTCTAGAATTATACAGTATGTAGCCTTTTCAGATTGGCTTCTTTCACTTAGTAATATGCATTTAAGTTTTTCCCATATCTCCTCATAGCTTGATTGCTCAATTCTTTTTAGTGCTGAATCTGAATGATATCCTATTGTCTGAATGTACCACAGTTCATTTACCCATTTACCTACTGAAGGACATCTTGGTTGCTTCCAAGTTTTGGTAATTACAACTAAAGCTTCTACAAACATCTGTGGTTATAGAATGTTTATAGCAGTTTATGGCTGCAGGCTTTTATGTGCACTTAGGTTTTCAACTTCTTTGAGTAAATGCCAAAGATGGCAATCGCTGGGTTGTTTGGTAAGAGAATGTGTAGTTTTGTTAAGAAACTGCCAAACCATCTTCAATTTTGCATTCCCACCAGCAATGGAGAGTTTCTGTTGCTCCACATCCTCACCAGCATTTGGATCAAAGTTACTGATTTTGACCATTCTAGTAGGTGCATAGGGTGTGTCATTTTAATTTGCATTTCCTGATGATATATGATGTGGAGATCT